GATACTGGTAGGGTGATGGTCCTGAGTGCTGGTCACACTGTCAGGGCAATCATTGGCTGCCGGTGCCAGCAATCACCGCGGGTCTGGTCCTTGGCCTCTACAAAAGCCTGGGCTTTAACAAAAAAAAAAAAAAAAAAAAAAAAAAAAAAAAAAAGAAGTTTCACTCCAACACAAAAAAAAAAAAAAATAGGAGAAGCTGGCCAAAGCTGCAAAAATGCTGTATATAGTAGTACTACATGCCGTAAACTGCCCTAAAAAAAGGAAAAAAAAAACCTCTTTTTTTCTTTAAAAAAAAAAGAAAAAAAAAAGGCTATATTCTTCTCTCAATTTCACCTCACACTACCTACCTACCACTACTACTAATTGTAAGCATACGGGGAACCCCGTAGCAGCCAGAACCGTGTTCGCAAGAGAACATGAGGGGGCTGCTCCCTACCGGCAGGTGGGAGATACCGGCTAGGGGACAGCAGGTAGCATAAGGGCCCATGCCAACAGGACCAATCCCTGTGCCTCCCCTCAGGCCCCCTCCCCTATGAACATTAGCAGACTGCTAAATGCCAATCGGGGGATCCAGTGGTCTATCTCTAGGTGGCGGGCGCCAAGCATGCCCAGGAAGGTACGTGAGGCCAATGGGGATTGAACCCACGACCTCCTGAATGCCTCTTGCGAGCCTTACCAACTGAGTTAGGCCGCTGGATTAAAAAAAAAAAAAAAAAAAAAAAAATCCTTTTGGGAGGTACCCACCTGTGAATGGTCTATTACCAATGTCGGTGAGGAAAGGTCCCGTCGAATCCCATGTTTCAAGGCAGAATTCGACTGCAGTCGGAGTCCATCTGCGCTCGGACACTTACCTTTCCTAAGCTCTCTAACTGTCTCCCCCAACTCCTCTACCGTGAAGGGGCAGTCCAGCTCCAATCTGCCCTCCAGTGAGACGAGGGTATTCGTTCTATACCAGTACCTAGAGGTGAGGGACAAGTCTGTATCAACCCTTCAAAACCTTTTTATTATTATTATTATTATTATTTTTTTTTTTTTTATTTTTTTTTTTTTTTTTGAACCCTGCTTTGACAGATAGTGCAATGGTAAAGAACTCACACGAAGTAGAGTAGTCCCCTCACAAGGAAGTAAGACAAAACGAAGCAAAGTGCAATCTCATAGACTATTCAATAAGCACCGTCCACAACAGTCCGCACACCCAAAATCCTCCATCGCAATCGTTCCACACACCCATCGACCGCTACCGCTATTGCGGGAGGCGGTCGTCTGAAAGAGGTCTACAACTGTTTCACAGCTTCTATTTATGGCTCCGCGTAACCAGGGAAGTACCGCACAGCAAAATCCTCGATGACAGCCCTGTCCGGGCAAACCATAACTGCTCGACGCTCCGGTCCGTAGGCCTGAAAAAAGTTACGAAACAGGCACCCCTAACTACCGACAAAACGGCCAAAAAAAAAAAAACAAAAAAAAAAAAACAGTACTGCGGACCTATGATCGATGACAGCCCTGTCCGGGCAAACCATGACTGCTAGTCAACAACTTCACAGTTTGGTTCCACACTTCATCCCTTCGGAAAGCAAACTTTCGCAACACCCTGTTGAAGAAATCCATAGGATAGTCCTTCAGTCTCCACTCTCGCCTTAATGACAACACCCGTCCTGGGATCTCACTCCTGATGGAGGTATTCTGATCAATCCTACTCAGATAGCTACTAATAGTAGCACTCTTTTGTTGCTTGCTGCCCCAGGAGAGAAACGACTGGCCGTTCTTAAATTCGAGGACATCGCTATTCCACACACTAACAGTCACTTCATTCAGTGACATCTGTACAGATCCTAAAAAAGGGATACGTACTGCGACACCTCACTTCGCAACCCAAAAAAGTCCAGCTTACCAATCCCATCATCCGTACGTTCCAAGCACAGATTCCTGGGATAGCATCCCTCAAACTGTTGTAAGACCCATTCCTGGCTGCCATGCAACAGGGACGCCGTGATTCTGAGCGTACTCGTTATGGGATGCTGGGCCCGGTTCCCAGTTTGTGCCAATTTGTGAGGATATGGTTGTATCTATGGGACGCTGGACCCGGTTTCCAGCAGGTGCTGCTCCCCAGCATTTTCCCAAAAAAAAAAAAAAAAAAAAAAAAAAGGGACGCCGTGATTAATATGACGTCATCCACCAACCGCATTCCAAAGACATGTCTGCTGTGCTTACCCAAACTTCGCAAAAACAGGTATTCAGAGTAAGCACACAGAATACAGGCCAGTGGGGGACTAGTTGTTTTTCCCATTGCGATACCCACGTCCTGTCTAACCACTATGTTAGTGGCATATGTGTAGGTGTGTGTCTGTTTTTTTTTTGTTTTTTTTTTTTTGCCAGAACAACCCGAGGTGGTGGTAGGGGTGCTGATAAGAGCAGACACCGCTATCACTCTCAGGGAGGCTCCATCTATTGGTGGGGAGCTGCACCTGCTGGAAACCGGGTCGATTTGCCAATCAGGCCACACACCTACTCAACATCCCAAGTCGTTTGCCTACATGACAGCTTTAGTTGGGTGGTAGTAAGCCCGAAACCCATTTCTGCCATCTCCCTTCAGCCATGGAGCCGGGCTTTATCACCAATGATTGGGCCTCAGCGCACGGTGTGTGTGTCTCAAGTCAATCTGCAAGAAGGCAATGATATCCTTGAACTCCAACAACCTCCAATGATCAGCCCCTGTAGTTTTTCCAAAGGTAGACTCCTACCCTCTTGTGTTAACCCGTACAGAGGTACGGCCCTTCCTCTGATGGTGATCGAATAACCAATCCACCGCTCTGAGGAACATGCGGTAATCGGCTGAACATGTCCTTAATGTCAAAGGACATCACCCTCAGATCCCTAACCGGGTCAAGGCATCGGATCTTAGCGTTCATCCGGTCTAGTTTCGATGTCAACAAAGAAACCGCTGGGAGATTGAAATGCAAGTCCCGTGGGATAGTTGAGAGCAAGAAAATCAGATCTCGTGCCACAACTCTTCCAGTTCGAACCATCGGTTCAGCAAATAGGCCGATACCTCGTCAGATCCTTATGCTTCTGCAAACCTGATCATGCTCGCACATCCTCACAGATCTCTCGCAAGAGCATACCAAACATGGCAGGCATGGCCTCGTAATAGGTCTTAGGGCACAGGACTACTGTCTCCCCAGGATTACGATCCAGGGGAGTCAGCACCAAGCCATCAAACCGTTCCTTCAACGCATGAACATCACACTGAGTTAATGTATCCTCCAGATCAACACAGTTCGATAACATCACATCAGGGATACAGGGAATCTTACCCCCGAAAATTCCTCCGTTCACGAAAACCGGACTCAATTTCACATCGTAGCTGAGATATCTGATCAGGCATCTGAGCCTTAGGGATATTATTAGCATTCACCAAAAGTCGTTGATCGTCCAAGTCCTTATTCAAACGAAAATGCACGTGCCCATCCACACGGGGATAGGGTAATCCTGTGCACAGTCAGCACTTCCCGAGCTGCGAAAGCTCGATGATTCTGCCACAACTCGCCGACAGTTTGGTTCTTCTGCCAAACAATCCGAGTCTTCTTACGTGCACGATGTATGAAACAGAACGCCATTGGTAGATCACACCCCATCAGCGTATCATTCACCAATTTGCGAAACTCACATAGGCTAAGTCGATCATCAAACTTAATCTTAATCAACAGATGCGCACTCAGGCTAAGGTCAAATTTGTCTGAGAACACACGTGAGAGCAGGCAGCGTAGATACTTTTGCATAGACTTTCGGGAGAAATCCTTCACAACATTATACAAACGCAGCATAGACTTCATGCCCCATGCATAAACCTTATTCAAAACATGTGGGTTCTTTTTTTTTTTTTTTTTTTTTTTTGAAGAAACAGCCCCGTAGGACAGCGTGAGGTGCTGGTAAGAAGTGAGATCAGGAAGGAATTGAGGTACCCTCACTGGGTTTTCCGCATAACAACAAATTCCACTACTATGGGACTGCCGGATTCGAACCAAGTCTTAGCCTCTTTGAGTAGATATCTCTCGCTGCCCTTAAACAACTTGGTCTTCCCAAAGGTCCTAGACCTAGCTTTCCATGGCGTCTGCCATATATTCCCTCCGCTCCCGAAAATTTTGAAACCAGCCCCGGCATCCCCTCGAGTTTTCAAAATGTCATACAAATCTAGCTGCCAATCACTAGATGATCCAATGCGAAAGCGTAGAGGGGCAATGGTACGCTCCAGATTACCACGCCCCTTCCCCTCTCTCGCTCTCTCCCTCCTACCCTTACCTGACTTCTTACTCTTCACGGACTTCTTAACGCCTGATGTATTGAGAAACGGTGACCATTGTTTAATGTACACGCTCTCCAACTTGGTCAGCTCACCATCAATGATTGTGTCAACTGGAATCAACACATACTTGTGAGGGTCAAATACACTAAGCCAACGATAAAAAATGGTTCGGCTTACGTGTTTTACATGCATAAATGTACTCTCTCCAGCGCACATCGAGATGTCGCGTGCTTTTCCCTACGTATTGAGATTTACAATATGGTGAGCAAGCGATGTACACACATTGTTGCAAGTTAACGAACTCGGTACCAAAACGTTCATACAATTCGAATCCAAGAATTCAAGCACTTACGTGTCCAGCGGAGCACGCTGGTAAATGATAACTGGACAACAACCAATCGAAAGAGTTCCTCAATCCTTGCGTCAACATAACCCAAGAGTGCTCGCAAATCAGTCAACCAATTTACAATACCCCAAACGTTAATAATATTGTAAGTGCATCACTCATCAACACTCTGAGCCTAATCATCAACATCCTCGGTACTGACGCCTTCCTGCTCAGTTACCCCAACATCATCTTCATCAGGACCGTAAGTCTGCTGCACGCAATGCGCAGCAATGTCGAAAATGGACTCAAACTTACCGTTATAGGCAATGCCTTCGTCTCTACAAATGTTTTGCAGTACGAGTGCATCCAAGCCCTTAAGATCATTCATTATCTTCTTCTCAAACTTCAAACGGTTGATCACTCCAAGTGTTGCTGCCTTCTTCCGAATCGACGGTGAGGTCTTCTTCAGTGTAGGAGTAGTCCCATGTCTCCTCGCCTTAGAACGCGTAAGGCGCTCGGTCAACTTGACCGGTTTATCAGACTTGTGGGAGTATGCTTCAGAGGCTGTTCCATCGGCAGACTATCATCAAACACCGGCTCGGGTTCGCGCTTCCTCTTCTCCGAGATGCTCAAGTTACGCGCACTTTCGCTTAACTCCTCAGTATCACTGCTGCTCGCACTGCTTTCGTGTCCAGGTCCCGAAAACGGGTTAACTTTCTGCTTGCCTCGTGCGACAGCACAACACAAGTCGTTAATCGCCTCCCTAATCTCCAGGCGTACATCCTCCCGTAGCTCCCCAACTCGAAGTGCCACCTTGATGTCCAAATGTTTGTTAACCTCCTCAAACTTCTCAGCTTCTCGCCGCACCTTCTCCTCCTTCTTACACTTTTGTTCCAACTCCTGCCGTTCAACCTCAACACGTTCCTCCGCCTCCTTCTTCTCCACCTTTTTTCGTTCTTTGGCCGCCTTCTTCTGTTGCTCGGTCTCGACGAACTGACAGACTGCTGCCACACTCTTCCCAATCTCCGCCATTTTCGACTCAAGCGGATCACTCGAGGTCGATTGCCTACCGAAGCCCCGGTCACTCCTAGAATCTGACGATGACGATGGTCGAGCGTTCCGCTGGCGTCTCGGATGTGGCCACTGATTAGCATAGCGCCCGGTTTCACCGCAATTGAAACATGTGAAAGTACCGCGGCGCGGCTCCCGCTCGTACCCCCCCCCCCCTTGTGATCACGTCCATCACGCCCATTGTCTCGATACTCACGATCCTAAAAAATCCAGTCTCTCTGATCTCCATACCCAGCCATAGCTAGCTATGCCGTGCGTGAATGAAAAACGTTGCAGTCTCCAATAACATATAGGAGTGATGATAGAGCATACACTCCTACCTGTCTTGCAGGGGGCTCCAACCTATTGATGGGGAGCTACGCCTGCTGGAAAATGGGTCCAGCGTCCCCTGAAGTACATCATTGAGTTGGAACCGGGCCCAGCATCCCTTTTGAGGATAAGTGTCTATGCCATGATGATGATAGTGAACAAAAGATTAGTGAGGGAGGTGGGGGCGGTGGAGAGGGGGCAAGGAAAAATGTTCCTGAAGTATTCCCCAGCATAGACACACATCTGTTGTGTAACTTGTGTCGTCTCCGCTAAGGGGGCGTCGTTTATCAACGAGTGAGACAACTGTCTCAGAAGAGGTTTGGTCTCCTGCAAGATTAGCGTACGGAAGCTGATTTTTTTTTTTTTTTTTTTTTTTTTTTCTCGTCATCCTATCGTAGTCTATGATCCCGCTCAGGCTTAGCCACTGAAGCCAGTTGGCTTGTCATTGAGACTCAGGACCTCTAATTCCGTCTGCAATTTTGTCCGTCTACATAACTAAAAGTGGTCCGCGTATACATCTTTTCCTAGTTGTTTCTCAGCATCCGCTATGGCGAGTTTCAGTCTTTTCTCTTTTAAATTTATGTTACCTGCTTTAATCTGGAATAACACATTAAGCGTGTTAGAAATTACGGATAGACCAGTATCTGCCCAATCCTCTTCTCGTTCGAACAGGGGTCTGCCCTT